CTGGGTTTCAGTCATTTATTGTCTCTATTTATCAATTAAAATACGTTTCGGTGTATTTTTCCACCATCATCAGTTTTTATGTGTAGCGTTGTTGCACACACGCTACACATAAAAACTGATGATGGTGGAAAAATACACCGAAACGTATTTTAATTGATAAATAGAGACAATAAATGACTGAAACCCAGGAATTAATTTTGATTTGGATTTGATTTAAATTCGTTTTAAAATTTGAATGCTTCCAGGTTGGAGCTCTTGGTCCGAATGGAAGCCATGCTACCACAGAATATCTTCTGAAAGCGACAATGATCAATGTGTTTGCCAAACTCGTCATTGCAATAATCCGGCTCCAGCCAACGATGGTCAACCATGCGGAGGGTCATCAGTAGCGGTGGTCAACTGCACTGTTCATGGAGGATGGTCGGATTGGTCTGCCTGGTCAGCTTGCTCAGCAACTTGCGGCACCGCCGTGAAGACCAGGTTTCGGACCTGCACTAATCCAGCCCCAGCCTTTGGCGGAAGGTAACTAAATACGTTTACCTCCCTACACGTAAATTATTCACACTTCTTTCCCTCGTGCGCCGATGCGCCTTTGCGAACAACATCACTACAAATGTTTCCTACCGTTCCAGGGTTTGCGTAGGACAAGATCGTACTGAAGCGTTTTGCACGGAAAATCCGCCTTGTCCCACCCAGCCTACTCATGGAGGCTGGTCTGGTTGGTCGCATTGGTCGGCCTGTTCAACCAATTGCACAGGATACAAAACACGCGACAGAAAATGTGACAACCCTACTCCGAAAAATGGAGGAGAATACTGCAAAGGAAATGACCTGGACTATGCACCGTGCAATGAGGCTGCGTGCAAAGACCACAAACAGTTGCATGTGACTGAATGGATCACAGACGCAAATATATCGATTCGTCACTACCATCAAAAACGATTCAAAATCACTTGCAAAGCGCCAGTGAAGCATCCTCAACAGATAAAGGTCATTGTTAAAGACGAGAGTCAAGTGTGTTATCATAACAAGTGCGAACCAGAGGAGGGCGACCATAATGGCTGGAGTTCTTGGAGTAGTTGGAGCGAATGCTCAGCAATCTGTGATGGGGGAACCCAAACTAGAACTCGCCAATGCTACAAAGGAAATTGTTTAGGTAAAAACGATCACCTACTTCTTTAAGGTCCTTATTTATAATAATTTTGGTTTTTAATCATCAGGTTCAACAACGCAAACAAAGGAGTGCAATAAACATAGTTGTGAGAATAATTGGAGTTGCTGGACTGAATGGTCACCATGCAATGCGTCTTGCGGCTGGGGGGTTAAAACCAGATACAGGGAATGTTTGGACCAAAAATGTAAAGGAGCCGATTCGGAAAAGGAAGCTTGCCACGATCAGCCTTGTGAAAGTAAGTGGCACAACTGGTGCCTGAGTTGATTAAGAACATGCCCTATTTATTCAGATATCTTGGGATGGGGAAATTGGACAGAATGGTCCATATGTGATGAAAATGATTTACAATACCGAAGAAGAACTTGCTACACAGACAATCCAGGACCTCACATGTGCCAAGGCAATGTCGTTCAAGAAAGAATGTGTGTAGGCAGCGCGCTAACTAATGGTATGTTATTTTTGGAAATTTCTGTACTAAATAATTATGGAACAAATTATTTTAAATTTTCTTTGTTTCCAGAAATAAATGACTATGGATTTCCGATTTCGGACTGCTCCTGTATAAAATCAAACTTCAGCTGGTTCTTCCTTGGTATAATCTGTGGCTTAGTTCCTCCAATAATTTACCTAATTCTCAATACGATAAAAAAGAAAGATCGGCGGGTTCCCAGCACACCAAATTATATGCCAGCCTCACTAAACAGTTATGTGTCTGTGCCAGTGAAAGACAAAAAACATGCATTAAAAAAGCAGCATAGTTACACTGGAAATGGAACACTTAAAAATGAAATATCTACTTTAAAAAGGCATAGCAATGAAATGAAAAATTTACATGCAAAGCCATACTATATGAGTACCAGTAATAATGACTTATACAATTAAGGTTTCGACTGATTATTTTAGGAAATTATTTATTAAATTCTCGAATCTCTCCTACTAATGTACGTCTTCCAAAATGCTGTCATTCGTTCTACTTTATAAAAATTGTAATTTTTTATATCAATCATTAATACAGGCCTTAGTACCAGTGAAACTACACATGCCACTTAAGTGAAGACGCATATTTGTGACATATTTGCATTTTAGTGTTAAATTATATTTAGTGTATAAATTTGTGATATAGTGGTATTTGTTTTTACAGATGTATAATTTTAATTAATGTAACAAAGTACCTGCTTGTTAACACTAGTATAAGAAAATAGCCATTCGGACACTTTACGTTCTAGTACTGTGTTTTTTTATTACACTTGCTCATATTGAGACAAGTATGTTAATTTGAAAATAGCTATATATTTTTATTTATAAATAAACCTTTTGTAAAAAATAGTGTTTTATTGCAGTTGAAGAATTATAAAATATTCAAGAATTATCTTGAGTGTGTTTGTTGTGAAGGAAGTACCAAAGAAACAAATTTAGAAGTGGGTGACTCAGTTAATTTTCAGGAGTTGGCACAGTGTTGCCGAAACTTGTTGCGCCAACCCAACGCACCGACACAGTAACGTTCCAGTCACTCATTTGGTAAAAATGTGGTGCCCTTTTTCTGTTAGGTGTTGAACTTCCAGCTGGGGGCTTCGTAAAGTTTTAATCCGCCCCTGCGATAAATGTCGAGCCGAGCGAGAGTAATTAAAAGTGCGACAAAGTGAGAAGCGATGAGTTATAAGGAAAACCTCAGAAACGAAAAATACTCTACAAGTTCAGCGTTGTACGTGAGAGTGCCAGAGAGACAGAGTGCGCTCTAAATGACGTCAAAATTTTGCTTAGGATTTGAAAATACTGTTGGGGGAACACATTTTGCATTGCGTCTTTCATAAATACATTTCTCAGAAACGAAAAATACTCTCCAATTCCATCAAACCTTCAAAAGTACATTCAAATCGCATGAAATCCTGAATTTTGAGCGCCTCGTAAATGTTAATTTCAAATTGAAGGCTTTCACTCATTCATGAAAGATTGGCATTATGTAGAGGTTTTTTTCATATGGAATTACCAATTCTCTATCCAAAGATATAAAAACGAACTCTGTTGCTCAAATGGTTCATGAGCAACGTCAAAAAATGTGGCGTCATGTTTTAGTCGATTTTGCAATAAAAAAAACAGGCAAAACAAAAACTCAACTCGACTAAAAAAAACGTAAAACTGGAACCAGTATTTGCATATCTCAAACCGTTCTTTGCTTCAGAAGAAAGAAAAAAAACTTCAGATTAGCTTGCCAAAAATACAGAGCCACCCAAAATATTCCCAAAATGTAAAAATTTCATGTGAAGGAATCAATAGTTTAATCGGAACCAAATCCACAAAACCAGTAATCAAAAATTAAAATTTTATCAAAATGTCTTAAATTTTACATCATTTTCATCTCACGGACGCAATGAATGCATCAAACTCATTGAAAAACATGCTAAAAATTTCAGATCGAAATAATATACATTTTCGGCACATCTTAAGCGTTTTTTGAGAGTTCATGATCTTTTGCCGACGATTTCTTCCTTATTATTGACCTAAACACTTTATAAATGCATATTTTTGACCTTCTTACTTCGGAAGGAATCGGTTGAGCTCAAAAAACACGCATGTGAAATTTTGATTTTTTCCGAAATTTTTCTAAGGGTGGAGGTCGATTTTTGAAAAAATGAAAATTTTATTAAGATGTCCTAAATTTTACATCATTTTCCGCTCACGAACGCGAGGAATGCATCGAACTAATTGAAAAACATGCTAGAGGTTTGAAATCCGAAATAATATACATTTTCGACACATCTTAAGCGTTTTTTGAGAGTTCGTGATCTTTAGCCGACGATTTCTTCCTCATTTTTGATCCAAACACTTTCTAAATGCATATTTGTGACCTTCTTACATCGAAAGGAATCGATTGAGCTCAAAAACACGCATGTGAAATTGTAATTTTTGGCCGAAATTTTTTCAAGGATAGGGGTAGATTTTGTGAAAAAATGAAAATTGTGAAAACTACTTTATATTCCTGCCTAGTAGCTTCCATAATAAAAACCTTCATATAATATTTGAACACATCCTAATTTATGGCAAGCAAATTATAAATTATCTTTCTTAATAGTAAGGTTAAAATAGTGTCGGATAAATGGTCCTACAACACATTATTATGGTAAGTTTAGCGAAAAATCACAGACACAAAATAAGAAGTCGAAGGCCTATTTGGTGTAAATAAATAAAAAATCAATACATACAATATAAAGGCATGAATCACTAATTTTAAGTGAAAGTTCTACGTTAGGGTGAGGTGTTTCAATATAATAAAACCTACATATATTATTTGGTGAAGAGGACAGTGATTGCCTGTTTTATATAAAGGTAACGCCAGATAAATAAAAAAATTAAGCTATTACAGATCTGGTTTAAAATGGTGACGTGACTAGAGCCAATTACTTCTTCTTAATCTTTGGGGAAGTAGACTGAAATACACTACTAGCTGACATTAAGTTCTCAATATACTGGCCTAAAACCTGATTTTCCGAGCGGAGCTTCAGGTTTTCCTCCTTTACACTGTCAACTCTCTGTGAAAGGTCATCCAACGTATTTTGAAGCTCTAGAACTTGCGAAATGAGACGAGCCTTCTCTTCTTGCTCATCAGGACTAGCATCCTGGTCCAGAGAATTGTGTTGCGGGCTGGAACTTCCATTTGTAAAGGTTGACTGGATGGAATCCATACTTCTTCCATGAATCATGCTGGAGGAGTTGGCTTCGGACATGGAGTTTGGCTCAGGGTCATCGTGTATTATTACTGAAAGGGTGGTTAGTAAAACAAAATACCACAGTAGGGCTGAATAAGAGTTACCTTGAGGATCATCATCAGCAAGTGGGATTTCATCATGAATTTTCGATACAGCCATTTTCTCAGTTGAAGTGAAGAATCCGATTGATCAACAGCACTTTCCAATGTATGTTATAATTATAATTGTTTATTTTATTGTGTATTGAGTGTAGTGCCACTGTATTTTGAGAAACAAATTGAGGTTAGTTTGGGCTAAAAACTGACAAGAAAGCAACTTTGCACCAGCAGTAAGTACTCGACCGTTGTGGCTTGAAAACATTACATATGACCCTTGGAATGCTTCGAATTTAAATTATTTTCATCATCGATAGAGCAAAAAGTCAGACAACAAACCTGAATCATGAACAGTATTTACAAGCATGTAATGTTATCGGGTCCAACATTTATAATAAAGAAAGTGGATAAAAATCCGACTACAACAGCAGTGAATTATTTCCGACTGTGTTAACTGCCAAAGCGATTCTGTCAGGTGTCTGTCATGCTTTAAAAGTTTTAATAACACTAGATCCCAGTTATGCCATTTACTACGCAAAAAGGAAAAAAGAAGCCTCCTCCAAGACCGCCGCCCCCCGACTTTTCCAAGTACAAAAGTAGGTCGACCCTTAATCTTAATCAGCAAAACCAAAGTGTAAATCTCATCGAATGGAGCCCCCCCAGCTCTCCCAAACCAGAAAGATCAAAACATTATGTAGGCAGTGTTTCGAGCTCATTCAGCAGCAGTACCAGTAGCCTAGCATCAAGCAAAAAGTCCTTTGAATCAGATGGTTTCCCACCAGTAACAAACAGCATGTGGCCTGTGCAACCCCAACTACTAGTTTTATCCCCTACATTTCAAAGCTACCTGCCAACCGTAAGCAACCAAGCAAGTACAAATATTGGGAGCACCGTAGCCCCCAACCTCAACGTGCCTCAGTTTGGACCAACAATCATCCGTCCAAAAGTAAAGGTCAATAGTAGAAACGATAATCTCAGTCCACCTTCAGGGTCTCCACCCATGCCCAACATTCCACCCCCAAGCCCGCCTAAAGGAATTCTGGATGTTGAGACTCCGTATGGAATTGCATTGTTTAATTATTCGCCTAGCCATTCTAGTGACCTTAGTTTTCAGGTGAGTAATTAACTCATATTGGTTACATCAGCAACCATTTTGATTATCATCGGCTCTGAGTAATTGTGTTCCTATTTTTTAGGAAGGTGATGTAATTATTCTAATGCACAGAATTAATGATGATTGGCTGTATGGAAAAGTGATCGACAAAGAAGGAATGTTTCCGGAAAGCTTTATAGATGTCCAAGTGCCACTAAAGGAAGATGAAAACCTTGTGACAGCTTTGTATGATTTCCCGGCCCACATGCCAGGTGACCTAAGTTTAAAAGTAGGCCAGAAAATCAAAGTAACCAAAAGAATGGATAAGGGCTGGCTATTTGGGGAGTCTGCTGGCCAGACTGGCCAATTTCCCTGCAATTTTGTCAATCGCATCCCTATAGGTATATAAATCAGTTGACCTCATGGACCATATCAAAACATTAATTCAATAATTGTCTGAAATCCGGCGCTCTACGAGCTACAAAATCATCGATACTGTTAAAACAATGCCATTTGTCCACCAAAGTTGTTTCAGTCATTTATTGTCTCTTTTTTTGTGTCTTTTTGGCACGCAAAAATGCATGCCAAGGCTTAAAGCAGCAACAACGCTACACATAAAAACTGATGATGGTGGAAAAATACACCGAAACGTATTTTGATTGATAAATAGACAATAAATGACTCAGGAATGAATTTGATACTTGATATACTTACATGATTTCTATTTCGGATTATTAATGCCGAGGAAATTTTTGTCATTATTAATGAAACTGAAATAAGAATCATCGTCAATATCTAGTCAAACTGTCCAAAGTAACAAAAATGTGCGTAAAAAATATTCTTAATACGCATAATAAAAATGGCGTAAGAAGTAAATTGTTTGTAATGTGATTTTCTAGAAGGTGAGCAAATTGTTAATTGTGAGCGCCGGATTTCCTGGACCATTACCGATATTAACGTTAACTGTTAAATTATTTTAAGATTGTACTTGCAAAAAAATTAGGTAGCAATTCAACAAATTAACTATTGATGATTAACAACTATATTTTGTATACTAACATTGGACTATTCCCTGTAACATTACAGACTGATTTGCAATGCAATACATAGGAAAGCACTTCGTGCCATAATTCTGCACTTTATTGTTGTTTTCAGAAAAAGTTCAGTCATTTTTCACATTGTGGAAACGCTAGAAAACCTCTGAGATTTGAAGTGCTAACTAGTATTGTAAATAATTCTACTTCAATTGTTCGATGGTGAGAGTATTAAAAATGTGATGTTTAACTGTATACATATAACATGTGATAATATGTGCCTCCAGTTACGGCACTTTGTTATATTTTTGTACAGATTAGCAGAATTTAATTGTCAAATACAATGTTTATTTTAAGGTAATAAAATGATCTGTTATGCAAATGTTCTTACTAGCACCACTTCATCATAGACAAACTTTTGGTCCATTCCCGATTCACACATTTCATCATTTTTGCACGAAAATTTAGGCTCATTTCGGATTTTTAATCGATGTTATTTCTTCTCATATCTCCTCAAACACCTTACTTTACACGAAATTCGAAGAACATATTAGCCAAATATTGTGGCCCATTCTGATTTTATGATGAAATGTACAGTTGAGCCCGAATATAACGAACTTGAAAAATGAACGAAAACTGGTTCGTTATATCCGGAGTTCAATATAAGCGAATAATAATACAAAAACACGTGGTGTATTTTATTTCGCTATTTTTACATAGAGTAGTAGATGTTAGTAGGTATGACT